GGGGAGTGGGTAAGAGGTGGTGGTGGGGGGAGCTCTGGGTATTGCTGACCTACTCTCTTCCTCATCCAGTATGCCCTGAGCTGGCTGCCATGCTTCAGACCCACAAAATACACATTTTGTTCTAACCATGGTTGTGAAAAGCACTATCTACAGTGTATCTTTTATAGTTACTGACCTTTTGTGCATTCCAAGGAAGTTAATCCCATATTCTGTCCATGTGACTCTAATACTGTGTGACAAATAAAGGTCATGGCCATTTAGGTTATTAGCCTACTTGGTCCTTCCAACTTCCCCATTCCCCCCAAAAAGACTGAGTGACAGTATGAAGCTCAGGCTTAAGTTCCAGTCCCCACCCCCCAAACTGGCTTTTTTACTTTATATTGTTTCTCAAGCAGCTCAAGTTTTGTGTTCGTTTGTTTGTTTGAGGTTCTGTATATTATCTTCTCAGTGTGTATGTGTGAATATGCATATAAGTGCTTATGCATACAGTTTTTCAGTGAGCGGTATATTTCTAAGAATTTCAGAAAATTTGGTCACTGTCTCCCTAGAGATGACCCACTTTCTATTGAAAGTATGTTCTTTTCCTGGTAAACTTTCCTATCACTTTTTCGAAAAAAGGAATTGGTTTTCAGTTAAGAGAGGAACATAGCTACCTAGATAGCTTTATGTATGTATTTGTGCTTTCCAGACTTGGATCATTTAATTCTCAGTGTATTGAATTTCAATATATTCATGATTTTAAATGGCTAGCTTCAAATAGTTGTACAAAGAAATTTGTTATTGAATGAGCCCTGTGGTTCCTCTCCTGCATGTACGCTGAGGATGGCCACTGCATTAGCCCGCCACTCCTTTCCCGGTTTTCCACCCTCCTCCCCTTGGCCAGCACTCCCTCAGACATGACATGATTCAGCTTCCTGACACTTACTTTGTTCAACTGCTCATTGTTCGAAGGGTTCCACCATGGGACCTCGCTCCTGCATCTACCATGCTTTAGTCCATTTGATTGGACATATCTGAATAGAAATGATTAAAAATCAGTAATCATGAGTGTAGGGATTATGATGCCAAATGAAGTTTTA